GGATATTGGAGTCTCTAGGTCGAGTTTATAAGGTTTTGCGATTTACAAGAGATTTCGACATTTGGGGATTAAAGATTACGGATTAGGGTTTCAGGGCCTTTGGGTTTAGGGTTTTAGGGATCTACAAAGATTAGGGGTTCAGCAGTCTGAGGACTGTATAAAGGATCATGGGACGAGGTTGTAATTCGGGTAAGAAGTCCCCTAAGTGGGGTAAGCCTAATAAATATAACCTACTTACAACCTTACTTACTAAGTCCCATGAGCTTTTAAGCAGGGTTTGGTGCAGGAAGGTTGAAAGACTTCGGTCTGTCCAAACCTTTCAATGCAGTGAGGGTTCTATGGCGGGGGTCATGGTTTAGGGCTGAGGTTTAGGGTGGAATGCAGGGCGACCGGATGGGGCTCGAGCATGGTTGAGGGGTTTGGGGCTGGAGCATGGCCCAATGCAAGCAAAATAGAGGAAGCGAGCGAATACTCTTCTTCAATTGCAGGGCAAAGAAACCTTCAACATTTCTAAGATAAACCAAATTCTACAAGGCCAACAAGTTTAAAGTTATCCCACTGGTCCGAACACTACTACTAAGCATTCCCACCCCGATATTTTCAACTCCCTAGTTTAATAGTGAAAGTAGTAAGTTTGACCTACTTGCTATTTATCATGGGGAACTAAAGGTTGACCTTTTTGGTTATATAGGGATTACATAGGGACTGTACTACCCAAAAAGAGGTTAAAGGTTACCTACTCTTCTACTAAACTCTAAAACCGTAAACCCCAAAACCCCTAAACCCAAAAAAAAGCTAAAGTACTCGAGTACTAGGCTACTGCATTAGGGGTCTGAGCTTACCGGGGCATCGGCTGCGGGACACAAGGCTGGTCACGGCCATGCACGCCCGCATCTGCACCTGAGCCGCGGGGCATCGAAGGTTTAGGGGTTTAGGGGTTTGTAGGGTTTAGGGATTTCCGGTTTAGGGGTTCTTTGGGGTTTAGGGTTCAGGTGTTCTGAGAGATTCATCGGAAATCTCCACGATTTCGGATCCCTTATTGCAAATTCAGCGTATACGGTTCAAGGTTTAACTTAACCCTACAAGATTTACCGTTTTAAGCACAAATGTCAATAGATCAGAAAAATGAGAAGCCTTGAAGAGGTAATCATACTGGCGCCACAACAAGCAGAATAGGGGTCCTTTGAAGGGTTCCTTTAAGGGTTTCCAAAAAGGGTATTGTTGTGTTTTTTTTCGAGAGGTGCCTGCATAAGAATAGGGTTTGGGGTATATTATACTACGAATATGTTAAGGAACCCGGGAACAATCTTGGTAACTATTCAGGCTTCTATATTAGGTTTTTGAGCTGCCAGGTATATCAGGTTTGGGGAGCGAAGCTGCAACGTCTACATACAGAAGCGGCCGTTTCAAACTTTGGGGGGGGGGGGGGGGCTAAATAATTACAATAGGTATTGTGGAATATTATAGTAACTAGCAGTACTATCCCCACATAGTCCGTCCATATATAGCGGTACTATATTAATAGTACCGCTATAGATGGACTATGAGGGAATAGTAATACTACTAGTTTACTTAGGATGCCTTTATACCTTGCCCGGAACCCTAAAGCTCGGAACCCTGATCTCTGCACGCTGAACCCAAGCCGAGCACCTCAACTCTTCTTAGGTCTAGACCCAAGAGTAGCCTAGGAATAAAAAGGGTGCCCTTTTTGGTTTACAGGGAGTTATAAGGGAACCTGCATGAACCCTTAAAAAAGGGAATAAGGGCCTACTCTAGGTCCAAGGTGGTTTCGGGTCACGGACAAGGCTGTCAGTAAGAAAGACTGCAAAGATCTTGCATGAAGACCCATAAAGTAACAAAGCTGAGTGTGAGAATCCAGGATCTACCTTTTTGTTTAATCTGGTTTCGGGTTCACGTTCAATTTATGGATTCGGACCATGGGGTTGGGTTTAGGGCTGGGTTCTCGTTCAGGAATTTACGGAAATTAATTAAACATAATGAAAAAACCAAAATATTCACTATAGGTCCCTATCATGGTACCTTAGGCATGCAAGCAGCCAGGTTTTGGAAATTGAACTCTTGCAGGCGCACCCGAACTTCTAAAGCTCACTTAGAAGCCTGTTTCTTTGTTGGCTCATGGCTTTCGCCTAAGAACCGAACGGCGCCTCTGTGGAATCTTATCCAGTTGTAATAGGGGCTCATATGCTTTTAGAAAGCATCGGATCGAGTTCTATGCGTGCTTTACGACCCTCCTCCCTCCTTACAAGCGCAAGAGGGCGCTAAAGTCCCAGAGTCCAATGCTTAAGCGCCCCTCAATATTTCGGCTGGGGTTCTTGGGTTCATCTATTCTATGATTGGGGGGATAGTACTAATACTATATTATTCTGACCCATCTCGTACTACACCAAATCCGCAAACCACCACCCAAACCTTTTAAGTGTAATTTACATGCTACTTGCCCAGGGCCGCATTCATAAACTGCCAAGCATCCCAACTGCATGGGTGGTGAAAGGATTTCAGGGACTTGTTGTGGTGAAGACTTAGCGGTACTATGCCTCAGGGTTGGCGAACACAGCATATGATGTGCCCCGCAACCTTACCCGAACTATTCACTCCTCCATATCCCGGGCTCTTGTCAGAAGGAAGTGCCACCAACTGCGGAGGACCCCTTAGACCTAAACCCGCGCTCTCAAACATCCTCCAACCGACAACCAGAAACATGAGAATAGAAGCAAATACCAAACGATGTCAGCCCTCAAGCCAACGACACGGTTTCGGGTTTGGGGTTAGGATTTAGGTTTAGGGTTTAAGGTTCAACATAGGCACTCAAAGCAACCTTCAAAAGCCGCAGAAACCCCTAACGGTCAAACCGAGGCCGATGCTGAACTTGCACGACCTGATAACTATAAATACTATTCCGTAGGGTTCCATAATCTGCTTACAAGATATAACATACCCCAAAATCACGTTCTCATCCTCAGGGAAGGGCTTTCAGGATCTCGATATGGCATTATGGGATTCACGGAGGTTTCTATGATTAACTTCCAGGTTTCTGCAGGGTTTGATGTACGGGATCTACCCTAAACAGGCTTAATGTAGGGGCCTTAATAATTAGAATAGGGTTTTGGGGCCCCTGATACTATAATTATAATAAGGAACCCTAACCATAATATTGGTAATTATTTAGGCTTCTACAGTAAACTCTAAAGGCCAGCCCAAAAGGCCTGCAGATTCTTGGCATGCGTGGCGAAGACCTCCCAAGGTCTTCTACATCTTGGGTTTACGCGATGATGATCTCGAAACTTCCATGAAGGCTCCCAGTATGCAAACAATACTGACTCCGGGCTTGTTTCGGTTCATCCCGGTGATTCCATACTTCCTCGTGGTTTCGGAGTTGCTCACCATGAGCTTCAGAAGCCAAATGTGGGGATATCTCAAGTCCGTCTCACGAGGTTTCCAGGCAACAGGGGACCCTAATTTAGAACTCCAAATTCATAGGTGCAACAACCCAAACAAGGGAACACCGAATACGTGCCTGAAGCCCTAAAGCCTAAATTCTACACCCTCAACCCCTGACCCTCAACTCCAAACCCCTAAAGCTACAACATAGCAAGCCGAGGGTGTGCACCCTGAACCCTTAACCCTCAACCCCCTAAACCTACAAAATACTGATTGTAGGGGAGTCTACCGTATCACCCTTGAAACAAAAGCCTTTTGGATCCCCATGTATACCTACTTTGGACGAACGGAGCCCCTGCCGGATCGGAGCCCCTGCCGGGAACTCCCAGCCACAAGGTTGCCAGATGGCATTTCAGAAGGGTTCTGCTGGGGTTCTATGGGGGCTCTACAATGGGCTCGACAAGGTTCTACATGGGCTCTATAATGGGCCGTAGGTTCCATGATGGCGCTTAAATGCTATTACTGCTTAAGGTATGAAGGGTCTATCGGGCCTAAGGTTTAGGGTTGGGCAACTGCGATGGGCGAGGTGTCGAGTACATTGATGGTCGGGAGGATGTAGAGCCCTGACCGGATTCCCTTCAAGGAGAACTTGGAGCATCAAGGACGTAGTAACTACTTATAGACTTATAAGTATCATAGCCCCAATTAGGGTCCCTTTTCGGGTTCTCACAAATCTACTAATTATCTACTTACTGAGTTCCCCGACACTCCAGGAAGGGCCTGCTTTCAACTCCGATAACCCCTCTACCATTCCATCCGAGCGCTGTGAGGTGATATAAGCCCAGAGAGCCCTATAGTCAAAAAGACTTAAATCATAAACATGAAGCCCCTTGAAAGTTTAAGGTATGTTCGCGTCCATTCCTTGGTTAAGGAGTATTGGACTCTTTGGGAGGTTTCGGGGGTGCACATCCTGGACCTGCTTAAGTATGGTTGAGTGCTGAATAAAACGGCATTTCATGAGTTGAACAGGTTAAGTCAAACCTATGTTGTTGGCCATGCTGTGAACCAACATCAGGATTCATGAGGAAAACACTGTTGCCCGCAGATGTTATATTGCGAAACATTGCAACTTGTCCCTGTCCCTGTAACGTTCCTGACCTCAGAAAGCCCACGCAAGTCATATTGGCATCCACCTCGATGGAACATGAAGCACTGCGCAATCCCTTTGTTTTCGAAACCGCTATGGATGTTCGGCCTCCGTATGTTTTGGAATTACATTCATTGACATTCATCTTCAGTAAGCGGCAGTCTGGTTTGTCTGGTTGCGGAGCTCCATGACTGCAGTCAAAGTGTGCAAGCTCAGGTTCTGAAGCAGATCGGTCGCATTCCGCAAGGCCCTCCACACCGCAGCCGTCTCAGAACTAAGGTCTGCATTTCCGTCCTGCAAGGTCAGAAATACAAACTCGCAAACATGCTTTATTTCCGCCCTAAGCATTTTGTTTGGGTCCCAAGCCTCTCAGACTTGATTTAAACCTTTTGGCAATCTGAATCTTCAATTTACAAGGGAGCAAGAAAGATAAGAAAAAACAAATCAATAGGATTCACATGTGATTTACCTTATCTTCTAAGACCCATGTCATACATACATATATATATATATGTATATACATAGTAAATATAACAAATATAATATTGATACTAAAAACATTGAATATGTTAAATATGTTAAACATACTCTCTCTCTCTCTCTCTATATATATATATATATATATGTACAGATAGCCTATGCTACTCAGCAGGTGGGTGGAAGCCAGTCGAACGCAGTCCTCAAGATCTTGAATGCCCAGTTCGGTGTCGAGAAAAGTTTTGATCAAAGTCGCAGCCAATAGCAAGCGAAGGCCGATCACTTGCAACATCTCTTTAGTCAGGACAAATCCGCTGGAAACTGGGATGCCCCAGCCCTGCTCATCATTCACCTGCGAATGCCATGCTTTCATCCCATCTTGCAGTTCGTTTACATGAACACTGTGGAATACGGGCGATCATCCCACATCAGGTTTTGAGAGACGCTGACACTACGACCCTTCTGGTGAAGGGATGTTTTTGTTTAAGTTTGGCAGCCCTCTTTGAAAGAAGGTTTGGTGGAATGTGGTTCGGGTGCGTTTGTGCGTTGCTTCTGCGTCAAGCTGTTGGGGGATTCTAGTTTTCAGAGTTTCTTGTTTTTGTCGAGCTATTGGGGGGGGGGGGGGTTAAAGTGTTCAAGGTCTTTTTGGGCGTCAAGCTATTCGGGGACTCTACTTTTGAGGGTTTGCCTGTGAAGATATTGAAATGCTTTCATTTCGGTGTTTATTTTGGGGGATTCTAGTTTTCAGGGTGTGTTTGTGTGCGCGTCAAGCTATTGGTGGGTTTGTTTCTGCGTCAAGCTATTGGGGGATTCTACTTTTCAGGGCTTGTTTGTGCGAAGCTGTTGGGGGATTCTACTTTTCAGGGTTTGCCTGTGCGTCAATGCTGGTGCTGATGCTGGTGCTGCTGGTTCTGCTGGTGCTGCTGGTGGTGCTGGTGCTGCTGGTGCTGCTGGCGCTGCTGGGGCTGCTAGTGCTGCTGGTGCTGCTCGTGCTGCTGCTGGTGCTGGTGCTTGTCGTGTTGCCGTTTCTGCTTCTGCTTCTGTTGCTGCTGCTGCTGTTGCTGGTGCTGCTGGTGTGATGCCGGTGCTGGTGCTTATGCTGGTGCTGGTGCAGGTGCTGGTGCCGGTGCGGGTGCTGGTGCTCGCACTCGTGCTGGTGCTGATGCTCGTACTCGTTCTGGTGCTGAGCCTCATGAGCTGCTGATGATGGCTTCGAGGACCCGAATCCGGATGACGTAGCTGTTTCGACTTTCGACTGGACAAAACGAAAAAGGAAGTTGCACTTAGTTAAAGCGAGCTGTCTTCTGTGCTTCCTTCTTTTCGTTCTTGTCTCTACTTTCATTCCTCGCTTGCTTCTTTGATTCCTTCCTTCCTTTTTGTCCTTCCTTCTCACCCTGCTTCCTTCCTCCCTTCCTTCCTTCCTTCCTGCCTTCCTTGTGTCTTTCTTTCCTTTCTTCCGTGCTTGCTTTCGTTTTGCTTTTTCGTTGCCGTAGCAGAAAGTTGGAAACTGCGGGCCGGAAAAAGCACGGGGCCCAGAAACCAGCTCACCAGGGGAGCGCAGCACCAGGAGACCAGGGACCAGGCCCACACGAAACAAGGGGACCGGAGGACCGCAGGACCGGGAGACCACGCCACCAGGCAAGCACGGCACCTGGGACCGGGGGGCCGCAGGACCAGGAGACCACGGGACCAGAGGACAAGACCACGAGCGCAGGACCAGGACCAGCACCTCCAAGCCAAACCTTTTCAATGACAGCCTCTCGCCAAACCTTTGCAAAAAAAACCTGCCCCGATCCTCCTGCGAACCATAAAAAGCGTTGCGACTTCTGGTTACCGAGAAGAACACAAGGTGAAGTTGAATCCAAGTGCTTCTTTTGTTGTAGAATTGGGTATCGTTTCTCATATGTCTGGCTTTCTCGGTGCAAACATTTTTTGTGTAGTCAGCTCTACTGAAAAACAGTAAGGAAACATAAAAATGCTGCTATCACTCGGAAGAGGCGCCTTCTCTATGGCTGGTTCCCAAGAACCATCATAACAAAGACGTGCTTCAGCAAACACCATACTGACTGTGCTTGGCCCTTGCCTTGCGCAGCATCTCTTCCACCGCTTGCACTTCCAAATCCATTCTACCATCACGCTGCCTCGTCTCAGCCAGTTGCTTCTTCAACTCTCGGACAGAAAGTGAAAGTTGGACCGGCCCAATCGCCACGGCCCAAAAAATGGTTGCCAACTGGCAGGTAGTTGCAATCAAGTTGCTACATTTGGCTGCCCCCCATCCCGTCAGTATCATGTGGAGCTGCAGGATCAGATCCACAACATAATCATAGAGGAAGGATGCAGTGCACACGCTCCCAACAGCTAGAATCACAAGGGGAAACCCAAGTGGCAGCAGTTTGGGTGGTAGGTCATGCAATAGCTGGGCACATGGTGCATGGACATTTTGTGTCCATTGGCCGATTGGCCTTTGTGAGAAGGAATCGCCTCTGTCACCTCCAAGATGTGCTGCCGAGCTGCCACTACTATCTGAGAGATCGAAAAACTAAAAACTAAAAGTGAAAGATACGCGGGAATCAGTGCGCAGTCTTTGAGGAGCTTCAGCATGATATCCAAAAGCTGGGTGCCGTCACTTTCTGCAATGCTAGTTGGACCATGTCTTGCCCATGCCTTCAAAGTTTGGAAGCAAACAGACAAGACGAACAACAACAAGGGGAATATCCGAAGTCTTCCGAACTCTGCAGCCATATCTTCGCGCAATTCTGTCGGAAGTGGAGACCGGATTCCACAAACGATGCATCCCATGACAATCCCACCAACACGAGCTGGGAACGCAATCTCGAACATTTTGGCTCCAAGTCCCAGATAGCCCCAGTTCAGGACTACTGTGCCCATATGCCCAAAGGCGTCCAGCAGGACAGCGCCCAGGATAACAAACATGACAGGTTGGCTCACTTCCACTGTCCCGTTTGCGGCAGAGCGGACTATCAAAGGCAGGCTGACAAGTATCGCAAGACCTAAAATGCCTGCCAGGACCGACAAGCCCCTCAAGCTTTTTCTATTTCATGCACCAGTGGCGAATGTGATTCGACGGCAATCTGCCAGGCCGTGTGCAACTTCTCACTATTTCTCAGAAGCTTGATGTAAGCCGCTGCACTGTATTTCGCTGGGCCAACTTTGACGATGTGCTCTCCGACTTGCAGCCCATGTTGACTTGCTTGCCCTCCTTGCTCCACTCCCACGATCTTTCCAGGCACCACGTCCTCAACATCTGAACCCTCCTGTGGAGGTGTCAGAGATCGCTGCAAGCTGTCTGCCGGACGGTGGCCTGCAGAGGAGATGATTCCAAGCAGCAGCACTGCTTGAAGAAACATGGCGGCACCGCGGTGAACGAGTGGCACCGTGGAGATCAACGATGCAACATGGAACTACTGGAACCTATTCGGTTCGGTAGAAAGGCCCACATATGCCTTGCTCCTGCATGGCTGCAGCCGCCTCCATCATGCCTTCAACGATAAACACATGGTATAGAGAATTGCAGGGAATACCAACCAGCAATCATTGGCATTGGCATCTAGTGTAATCACCACTCTACAGGATCTATGAACAGTGACCAATATTCCATAGACCAGACAAGCCCAATAGATATACGTGGGGCCCTGCCTGCAGAAGCAGACCAACGCCTGTTTGCGGGCTCGTTCGGGCCTTAAGCTATACGGGATCAACGTCTACAATCTAGCTAGAGATCAGTGTAGCATTTCGGGCCTTGAACTGTCTAGAGTCTACGGATGTGGGGTCCAGTGAGGTTTGAGGTAAGGTGTGGTTATATTCAGTTTCCCCGTTTGTTTTTCAGTTGGCTGGGGGCTTGGGCTTCGGACTAGTGGCGCAAGACTCAAAGGGTTTCTGGTGGGCTCAGATGGAATTGGGGGCAGAGGGCTCTTCTTCAGAGACTCCACGAAAAGATTTTTCATAATGTTTTTGGCAGGAAGTCATAGGAAGCTCCACAGCAGGCTGTCTTGGTAGAAATGCACAGGGTTATATAGGTCGCAAGGGGGTTGTCTTGGAAGTGTGGAGAGTGCTCTTTTGCTTGACGCTTCAAAGCGGAAGCAACATGATGCCCGAAACAACTTCTTACCCAAAAACCTACAAGACGAAGTGATCTGGGATACATGGGAGTTTCCGAAATTAGGGTGCCTTACTTTGGGGTCCTTATAATTAGGATCCTACTATTTAAGGTACAATGTTGGGGTCCCCCATTTTCGGAAACTCCCACATGCGGCCTCTTGAGCTTTCAGTCTTTTTGGCGACTTGCCAAACTGTTGGTTGAGCTTGTATCCATGAGTTCTGCATTTCTCAAACACCTTCCGTTGGGGTTCACGGTTTGGGCTTTGTAGGAGAAAAACCCCTAAACCCTAAACCCTAAGCCTAAGCCCTAAACCGCGGTTTGGGCTTTATAGGCGAAAAACAGAACCCTGACTTCTTTCAGGCCGACTGTGGGATGGGATTAGCATTCAACGTTGAGGGCCACCAAGGGCCCAAGTGACTAATCACTTAGAGGCTGAGTGCTACGGTTGATGATACAAATCCTGCATTACCCATAATGAGGAATATGCCATAATTTCCATGGTCTGGGGTCATTAAGGTAATGCAGGATTTATATCATCAACCGTAGTACCCTAGCCCAAACCAGGTTAACCTTTTTGAAATATCCTACTCGGCCCCTAAGATCATCATATACTCTCTCGAGGCTGTTCAATAACCCACTGGGAAGAAAAGTATAGACTTTTTTAATGTTTTAGGCCTCTTATTTCATAACGAACCCAGAAACCTGAAAGTCAGAAAGTGTAACACTGAACAGCCGGGCCCCCTAATACTAACCTGCACACCACTACCCGACACCCAAGCAGCCGATACTCAGATCCTTTGGACTCTTAACGCTACCGTTCTTGTAAAGGGATGTCAAAGAAGCATTCCCTTGGCTGACTTCTGAACCCCTCCAAAAAGGGAATTTTCGTAAGCATCCTAAGAGCCAGCCAGAAGAACACCAAGTTCCTAGAGCCCTGAACGGGGAGACCCCGTTTCGAGCATCGAACACTGACATTCAGAGAGCCCGATAAACAACCAACCCTAAACCCTAAACCCCAGACCCCGTGTATACAACAACATCTAAAACATGACACTCCGGGCAAAGGCATTTCGTAAGCCATATAGCAGTAGGATGCCTGTTTCGAGCTGCTTAATTAAACACTCAAACTACTCGAGGCCCCTACATTCTGTACCACAAAACTTTGAACCCTAAACCTCTAGTTCTTTTTCTAAATCCTTTAGGAGGTTCCGGGTACTTAGTTGCTGAGTTCATAAGCCCGCCCAAAGTGTACACTTTTAGTTTCATAGTGGGTAATATTATCCCCAAAAGTGTCAAGTGTATCCACTCAGCTACTAAGTTACTTACTAAGGCTCCTGACCCTCCTTATAGAAGCCTTATAGATCCCTTTAAGGATCCCCTTTGCCCTCGGCGGACCTCCCAGGACAATGACATCCTCGGTGGTTTCCTCGGATCCTTACCACTGGCGGTGTCGGGTTCTACCGGGTTTAGGGTTTAGGAGAGCCAGGGGGCCTCTAAAGGGATCTATAGGGATTCTTAGGGGTCCTTTAAAGGCTTTAGTGTTCCTTTAACGGGGTTTGTATGTAAGGAATCTCTGAGGGGTACTGTAATAGTGTCGGAACCTGATTAAGAAACCTTGCGCCTTTACTAGGGTTATGTATATATATCCTACTATTCTGAAGTTATAGGCCCAGGGTTTCTTAACCAGGTTCCTACATTAGGGCGCTTTATAGGGTTTTGTCGGCCTTAATGGTTTAGGTTGCAGGGTCCAGGCTTTCAGAGAGTGTTGAGAAAGGGCTCGCTGGGATCTATCACCTAGGGCTTGGGGTCTAGGTTTGGGGTCCAGCTTTCTCGAAAGTTTTGTAGCTTATGAGGGTTTTAGGATCTCCGGTTTTTGATGCTTAGCGGTCAAGCTTTTGGGGTCCACACCACACCTGCAAACTGTAAAATACTGTGCAGATTCCTGTGGAAGTTGTTATACGGTGTCATATTCCTCTGCACGGTTCTTGGATTAACAGGTTCTGTTAGGGCTCAAGGTTTGGAGCATGCGGTTTCCGAACAGCGGTTCTCAATTCCTACTTTATGTAGACCTGATTGATAAGCCCCCCTACCTCGAATGGGATTACAATAGGGATCCTGGTATTACAAGGGAGTTCAGTAAATCAGGGGTCTACGTTAGTTTCGATTCTCTAGTTATTGCGTTCGGGTCGGCTAGCTTCCTTGTAGAACCCCGTTTGCCGGATGTTTGGTCGTGGCGTTTTGTGTTCGAGTTGAACAATAACAGCTAGGATGCACAGTAACCTAGGAATAAAAAGGGCTCCCTTTTTGGTAGAGGGTGCGTCGGAATCCGTATTTTGACGCGTTCTGTTTTGGTGTTGGGTAACTTTACAAGGAACCTAGGACTACAAAAAGGGAATAAGGGTACTACTGGGAAGGAATCCCCTGTCAAAGGAGTGCCCTTGGTAGCCTGAGCACCTACACAGTAAAACCCCCCAAACACTACACCATAAACCCCCTAAGCCCTAAACCCTAGGCTGTTTCGGATGACAAGTCCAAAAATGAATGGAAGCCTCAAGGAGCCGCCTCCAGCTGCTGTAGGGATCTTTGAATAGGGAGTTTGGGTGGAATTCCTAATGCCCAAGGAATAGAATTTGTAATTATTTGGTAATGTAATTAAGTGCAAAAGGGAACCCGGAGGAACAATGTTGATCATCATTAAGGCTTCTATAGTAAGCAATTCTGTATAGTATAGTTATGAGAATGAACTCAGAGGAATAAATAATGTTGGAAACTATCTAGGCTTCTTTCGGTAGAAATCAGTAAGCGCTTGCGCTTGGCCGGTGGCGTGAACTTCGGTGGCTTCTCGCCGGCAGCCTCTGATCGTGAAAACCTCCAAGGCGTGTTGCTCTTGGGCAATCTTGAGTTCGTCCTGCAGACCTGTAACGAACCCGCTGGGGGTTCTTCCACCGCCGCCACCATCTCCATGGAAGTTGGAGCCACTCGTCCTGCTGGACCCAAACGTAGACCATCTCTTCGGCTTTGTGGATATGCTTTGGATAAACCACTCGTGTTTGTGGAGCCTGGGTGGAGAAGTGTGGTCCGCCTGCAAGACCAGGTCTTGAGCAGTAGTGGCTGAAGCCAGAGCGGGCTTCACCAAGAGCCCTATCCCCTTTAATTAATTACCAGGACCCCTCAATGGCCCTTTAATGGAGCCCTTGTGGTCCTTAATAATTAGTGGATATTTAGGGTATATTAGTGGGTAGTGGGGGGGTCTAAGTAAGGGTTTAAGGTTTAGGGTTTAGGTTTAGGGGTTCAGGGGTTCCGGATATTATGAGTTCGACTAGATTCCTTACACCTACCCCAAAAACGTTAGTCGAGAATTCCGCTGGACTTATTTCCCGATTTATTTTCTGCCTTACCAAAGCTGTACAGACAGAACACGGTATGGAGTGCCCAAAAACAAACTGCCAGCTTCCCGAAGGGGACTTACGCAGGAACCCTAAGGAGACAGATTGGTAATTTTTCCGTCCTTAGGTTAAATTCTCAGAAGCATCAAGAGAAGGATCCTTTTATACACGACAACGCTATGTTTGGAGAAGACCCGTCTAACCCAAACCAAAAATCCGAAAGTCTACGCCCTTGAAACAAGTTTCAAACACAACCATGAACATCTCAAACACCGCCTCCTCCACACAAAAGACAAGCTTTACAATCCCTTTGCAAATCCGCTCTAAATGAAACCCATTCCCAAATCCTCGCCCAATGCTATACGCCCCATGAGCCCTAATCCAAGACCCTAAACCCTAAGAGTCCTGTACAACACCAAACTATCCTGAACCCTCAGAGGCGTTAAACCCTAAACCCTTAAACCCTGAACCCTCAACCATTAAACCCTTAAGCCCTAAACCCTAAACCTTAAACCCCTAAACCCTATAGATCCCTTAAAGCAACCCTTAAAAGAACCCCTAAACCCTAAGCCGTCTGAACCCACGAAGTTTCCCTCTGGGGGACCCAGCGCTCCCGCGTTTGGAGCTCCAGCAAGTCGCAGGCAAAGATCTGACGGGTTTAGGGTTCCTTTAGGGGTTCCTTTAAGGGTTCCTTTAAGGGATCCTTTAAGCGTTCCTTTAAGGGATCTATAAGGTTCCTTTAAGGGATCTATAGGGTTTAGGGTTTCGGCTTCCTTTAAGGGTTCCTTTAAGGGTTGCTTTAAGGGTTCCGTTAAGGGATCCTTTAAGGGTTCCTTTAAGGGTTCCTTTAAGGGTTCCTTTA